TGAGCAAACGGAAATGGTCAGTACAAGCTGGGAACCACCATGTAGAACAAGCAATTCAAACAAGGCAACCAAAACTGAAACACGATGTCACTGAACTGGAGCAAATTCAACGTCGTGTTCCCAAGTGCGTTATTGGAACGCGTAATTTGCCATATGAAAAGATGCGGAAACACGGGTATTGCTGATTAGATGACAATCTGCTAATGATTACATTGTTCTGAGTTAACCAAATAATGTGTGCCGCTACTTAATGCTGGCTAGCAATAACACCTAACTGAGATCATTTCTTGAAACTGACAGAATAGTATAACCGCCCCGAGTGTTGCGGAATTCCTTTTTCCGTTTGTGCGTCGTCCCTGGAACAACACCACATTCAGTCTGTTTCGCAACAATACGAATGATGTGTGTGAAAGGTTTGAGGAACCGCTCAGGCACTTACATGTTTAAGCAACCGCAATGGGAAGCATGACGCAACGATATGAAATATTCCACAGAAGCAAGCTCAGTCAAACAACGGCATAACAAAGGCATTTGGCGAGCGAAACCTCGGTGAGGATGCCAATGTGTACTGTGCGTGCACTCATCCCAATTTGAATCGCTACATCCATCAAACACGGACCTTACAACATTGCACTCAATGAACATGCGGCACCCAGAAACATACCACGGTCCACAAGCTCTTCACGCCCCTCCGGTGTCACTAGCCCAACTTTTATGCCAGCTGATCATCGCCAACGGTTCGTGAGAGGGACTTCATGTCATTATTCCCAATGGCCAATTCATTCGCACTCATTCACGTGGGTGCCTCACAGTATACGGATGGCTCAGCGATGAAATGGACGGACCCGCTGCGCAATCATATTCCACGTAGAAATAGTAATGCCTGAAAGGTTACGGGTTAACCATCATGATCACTCGCGACTACCAAGCCCAGGTGGCACCACGTGAGTTTTGCGAGTATAACCTCTAGCATGTGTGTAGCCAATCATGCCTGAATACGAGTATCGAGCGCGACTAGGCACCCACCAAATCGCACGCCGTCTGCGCCACACCCAAACCTGCATTGGAAACTCATGTCGTAAACTCGTCTGATATGCTCTTGGTTGATTTGGGATTGATCACTCGAGTGGCGCGCTTCTGATGCGTTCGCGCCAGGTGGATGATATTTGATTGCCTTAAGAACGATTCTGAAAGATGTATGGACGAAACCTATTTCAAAAGTCAATGCTAGCGAACATACGTGAGAGTGTACTCTAATCGAGGCTCCTCTACGCTACTGCACGCCACTCAACTACGCACTGCTGAGGTCACCTGGATTAGTGACGAAAGGTTTGTAACAAAATTGCCAAGCTCAACGAACAGTTCAACCGCGATGTGAACAACCTGAACTACTAGTCTTCAATTCTACAGCAGACATCAACATTGCCTACAGGCGAGAAGACACCAACGGTCAGCCCAAATGCAGAGGAGACAACAAAGCTGACTCCCGACGTCCTGCAGATCGCTGAGCGTCATTCCGAAGACACTGGTGCAGTGGCAACAGAGAGGAAGAGAGCCGTCTGTCCTTATCCACTGTCTTCAAGGCCCTCAGGAGGCTAAAGATAGTGCTAAAGGAAGTGACACTATGAGCTGGGCCGCGTCAACAGCGCCACGGCGTTCGCAACCTGGTAGGCTTACGCTATTTATGTTCGTAATGAGAATGGCTACATCTGTGTGGACATTCGTTTATTTCTGGAGAGAACTAATACCACACAACACATGCCACCCAAAAATCTCAGACCGGTCGCGAACGTAAATCGATCAGTTACTACTAGAGGGTGCGTCAAGAACTGTCACTGCACTTGCAGCCCACGTGTAGACTTCGACCATATTTTGAAAATGTTGGTCCGCGAGCGTGTTTCGGCGGAGGCCCATCAACTGGTAAAATCAGATGCTATGAATGCTTATCAAAGAGCTCTTTCATTCGGGTTGACGACCGCACACTGAAAGGTACTGATTACACGTTTACCAGAGCTTATTAGCAGTAGGCATGTCTCCGTGTGTTAAATCTGAAAATTGGGTCTCTACGAAGTCTCTGGAACTTCTAAATGCTTGCCGAGACATGTAGGCTGATAATGAACAAGAAACTCACAGACCACACGGTAAAATGTGTGCAAACCTGAAACCTGGCGATCATCGTGCATGTGAGATGGAAACGACTCAGAAGTTGATCAGTCTGATACGGGAAACGGGCAACAGGAAACGAGAGCGTACAGCCCAATCACGTGTCAAAACGTTCAGCGTTGAGCAGAACATTTTGAAAAGCAATTTAACTGGCCGGAACAAACAATTTTGCTATCGAACAGGGATCACACTTCTCCCTTGGTCCGCCCTCTCGCGCAGAAGCCGAATGTGAGATCAGATTATTGAATAAAGCCTCTAAACCAAACTGTCTGCAGTCCTCAAATCCGGAAAACACGTGAGTTATTAGTGAAACTGTGGAACCAGAGAATCGTCCCAATCGGAAGACCTTGCTTCTTATTCACCAGAGACAAGAATGTCCGCCGTCACAATTCCTTTCGAACCTCGCCATCGACGAATTTATGGAAACTGCGTTTACTGGGTAGGACTTGCAAAAATAACAAGACAGTGTACATACGTTTATTCACTTCTGAAACATAATTCATGAAGTGGAGAACGGAGAATGAAAACGAGGGGACAAACGTGGAAAACGCGACCACGGCGCCTGTGCATGAAGCATTGAACAAGTGCCAAATGTCACATTGAAAAGGAGACGGGATTAACGAATGTTTGCACAAGTGAAAGTACACTGACCTAGAGGTGAACAAGAGTATGAAACGGTACAAAACACGGGAATCAGTACAGTTGAGATAACACACAGAAGTGAAGGCAAAGCATTCGGTCAGACTCGCCTTGTGGGCCGCAATGCACGGTATCTATGCAGAATGGAAAAAACGGCTACCATGTTCCAAGATGCCCAGAGTGGACCGGATTGGAAACGGCAGCATAAGAGAAATTGTTAAAGTAAACCAATCTAATTTGACTCCGCAGGGTAGTTATGCAACAGACAGAATTTGAAGGAACTCGGAGCGTCTCTGTTATTCCTTACGAGGACGGCGTTTTCGGATAGTTTGCTTTTCCGGGGTGGAGGACTAGACGTGGAAAAAGGACAAAGACATGTAGTCACTAGGTATTCTCCGAACAGAAGCGTTGCAGTACATAGGCAAGAAACAGATAAGGCGTCAAGAAAGATGCATGGGACAAAATTTAGAAGGCACTGTCAAGGTAAAAGTGAAGAGCTGCGAAACGGCGTACAGGGATAAGCTGTCATGGCGAGAAGATAACACGTATGTAAGCCATCAAATGGACTGTGAAAATAACCGTATGTTGCTGCTAGCACTTCCTAATGCTTGTGGTGGTGAAAACCCAAAGAACGTCTGGGGCTACAAAAGGACTAAGGGTGGTTTGTACCGCACAATTCTCGTTGCACCCACGCATTCCTGGTGCAATATAAATTCGGACAATCAGATTGAAATTAAAAAGAGTAGAGGTGAAATAAACAGGTGTGCCTTATTGAGGAAAACCCCACGCAGCGCCATGCGCGCAACATCAACAGCATTAGGGCTTCGTGCTCATAAACAGAGGAGCATAGGACGAAGAATCAAGGGTTCGCCAACTTTGTGGAGCCAAACTTATGTATACATAAAAATACCAACAATCAAGGGTCGGTAAGAAAACCACAATGTGGGGGGAAATAGAGGTAGAGAGGAAATGTATGCAAGAGACCCACTAGTATGGCAAGGTGTTTCACCGATGCTGCCTTAGTTCGCACAAGACAAAGTGTAACCAGATTGTGTTGTTTACACTGGGCACCCATTCGTCCTTTTTCATTCCATATTACCCAGGTTATCATGGTCATGTGGCAGCAAACCTTAGTTCACAACACTGACATACTGCTGATGTGGCTAATGATTCGAGCTCCTGTCACCCACTGGTAACCTCCAGATTCCATCCAGACAGGTGATACTGACGAATAGTGAAAATTGGAAAAAGGTAAACATGCAAGAGAAGGAAATAACCTAGACAGTGTAGGTATCTCAGAATCTGTTGCTGAACACCAAATGGTGAACGTCTGCACTGCTTACAAGATGACCCACGGATAGTGATCGAACGCAGCGTCTCCTGATGTCTTCAGCGCCCAATGACCACATGTTGGATTCAAACACCAGTTGCTATGCACGGATGTGCCTGCCGCACACCGTCCCCATAAGTGTCTGAGGCTTTGAAGGTCGCAGAAGCCTTAAAGATGAGCGCAGCAACCATTTGTGAGACACTGACATGTAGATAGGTGAGCCCCCAAACTACTTCTAGTAGTTGGTAAGTGATGTCAGTCTAGTTGTGTCATTTGTACTTTGATAATGCGAGCAACATGTTAAAACGTGCAATGCTTGAGTAATTGTTGGACCCAAAATAAGACAAACCCTTAATTCTGAAGAATCAGTCAGTACGGAACCATACATGATCACTTGGAATGCATAAGACCGAAGAGAAGTAGAACAAGCGTGATGAAAACGCCAGGCGTAAAAAAGACAAGAACACTTTCACGTAGATCAATAACTGCCTATTGGGGTTTTGGAATAAAATGACTGTCTCCGGTACGCTCTTCAGTGAAGCATCTCCAGCAACAAGCGAGAGCCAATGACAATCTTCAACACCAAAAACTGCTAAGGTGGATGCTATTCAGGTACCTAGCGAAGTGTGAACTCCTACGGGGCCGCCGGTGGCCGATAGATTCAAGCATCTGACTTGTAACGCACAGATCATCGTTCTTGCAGCAACCCTAGCTCACGTGCGACTGTAGGTGATTGCGCAGCAGTGAAGTGCCGTGTACTGCAGATGCCTTTTTGCCACAGGGGTGGAAATGAGAGCATAGCTAGCCAATAAGATGTAGAAAAAGTGGAGTACGTGTAGCAGGATACAAAGTTGCGGTGAACAAATACTTGCCTCCTCTTTGATATCATCATCTTCATTGGAATCTGACTCCAGATCAGCTTTGCCGCCTGGCACTTTGGGTGTGGGGCCCACATCGCCTCCAGCGGAGCTCGGAACTTGGACCAAATCATCCTCCATCTCCTCTTCAGCTTCTTCATCAGCTTCCCCTGCATTGGCTGGAGCCTGAACGACGGGAGCAGTTTTAGTGGCATCGTACTTAGTTGGTTCATCATCTGGGGTGGGTGCATCTGTCTTTTTGCGCACATCTACATGTGTCTTTGGTGAGGGTCGACACACGTACCATAGACAAAACAGGAACGGGACGGTGAGCACAAGCCCGATAAGCAAAACGAGAACGGGTTTCTCCCTGTATGTGTCGCGGACCGCATCTACAACGCTACGCTGCAATAGAAAAAAAGTAGAAATTGCAAAGGTACGTGGCATGCGGACAGGATGAAACTAAGTAACGTCTATAAAATGCATGACACACCACAGCTAAAGTAAACAAATCATGATGGCTTAGGAATGGGATATGATGGCCCAAAAGTAAGCAAGGTCCAGTGCAGGTGGGGAGCCAAGAAGTTGAAAAGCCGAGTACAAAATAATTATGTGAGGATGTATTTGTTACATTTATTTAATTATTTGTTTCCTGATACCAACATCATGATTCGATTGGGCTAGAGACAGCATCCTTGTCGTTTTGTATCAAACGTGATGTGAGTAGACGAATGGGGACACAAGGTACGAACGCAAAAGTGCTAACAGGTACTTGCATCTAGGACAACAGCCAGTTTTTCTAACTAGAACTTTTAATGACGGACGGATTGATCGTTATGATTAAATTAATTTTCAAGAACGAAATTTATTAGTGCTCATTGTTGCGGAACGATTTGATGAACTAAGCATCCATTCCAAAGATTGATGAATAACAAGTTAGCGAAGAGAAACTAACCGCTTTTGGATCGGCCAATCGCTCCGCTTCTGATTTCACAACCCAAGTCTCTGCCGCAAAGTCGTTTGCGACACGAAGGGAGTCGACCACAAGGAAGTTGTCAAATGAAATGCGCTTCGACATGGACCAAAGTTCGAGGCCGACGGCTGACTAGAAGGAGGAAGCAAAAGTGAAATGACAAAGTCAACGTGGGATGCGATAGCGATCCGAATAAGTGTCAAATGATATGAGTCTCAGCTGTACGCCGTAACGGGGCTTCGCTGTTGTGCGACCATCATCAGTCTCACTTGAGTATACTGCGAGGAAGCACACCCCTACGCGGATTCGAACCCGCGCTGCAAGATTAGGAAACAAGTTCGTTACCTCTAGGCTACGGGCCGACTTGACTTGTATGATTTACTAGTAGCCGTGGGGCAGGGTGGTCGCTATGACCGAGAAGGAACAAGGAAAGCAGATGAACGGCTAGGCTATCTAGGTGGCTGATAGACATGTGACAATGTGGGAGCCGAGATCGGCTCGACAATTGCGAGAGATAGGATACTTCGCAAAAGCTGATAAAAACAATCACAGTTAGCGAATGAATGAGTTTTTCAGTCTAACGAATTTCACTTAGGAAAGTGCAGCTGTTGAATATGGGAGAATGTGCGCAACAGCGCGGCCATTTTTGAAACGGCGTATGTAAAATAAAGAAGTGTACTGAAAGGGGAAAGCAGGACAAAACATTACGGCCAATTAAATCGTCGTTGTACTATTATCGATGAGCCATCCCACGACATTGTTCAACAAGAAGCGCTACAAATAAATCCATACCGAAGTTAAGTTCAGTTGAACTAGGGTCGGGGAATCGAAGTGTAGTAGACCCAGTTGCATGACTTAAACTTTAAGAGTAACAATAAATAACAACGACAAGTGAAGCCAAATGCAAACTGAACACAGAGAAAATATAAGTAAAAAGAAAGCCGTCAAACTATAATAGGAAAAAATGGAAACTAACAATTAGATACAAGAAACAAGAAGGAATGCCACTGACTGTGTGACTGCGCCATATCTGATAGAGTCTACATTCGTTGGTGTGGACCATCCCGCGGCCCCCATCTATCTGAAAAAGTATCCCAGCCGAATTTTGCATGTTTTTATGCCATGTCATCGACTGACCACGTCGTAGATTCACTAAACTTGATGCAGCGATCGTGTATATTGCACGCCGAAGAAATCAGTGATTGGGCATAAGGAGGGCATGACCTAGCCAACGTAAGTGATTAAAATTCAGCAAACAATTGACTGAGTCACCAAAATTTTTAAGCTAAAAAACACAAATGGTGGACATGAGCATTGCTCGCTGGGTGTTCGCATCAGATACGAGCAATACTCTGCAAGCACCAGTAATCAAAACGGTCCAGCGTTTAAAGTCTTCACTGCGAGCTGGATAGGTTTATGATTCATACAGTAACACTGGCGAAGTAACTACCTCATTGATGTGACCACAAGTGGTGACAGCAACAAAGACAAGTGTACCGATGCATCACTTTCAGTGACTGTTCACTGATAGATAAAAGCGCTGATGTATCGATTCAGTCCTGCAACAGTACTTTGCAATTTAAAGGTGCATAGCGCACGCCAAAACGCGCAGTGCTACGCACCAGTCTATGCAGTAATGTATGATAGCCAGGGTGTCAAACCCAAAAAGTTACGTGAGCTGAATGAAAGGCTTTTGAGTCTGTCACAGAAATCAGATAGCCAGGCAAGCCAAATAAGGTTTTTTAGAATCTACTACTTTCCTTTATTCATTGTATGTAATCCATATTTCTAACGCATTTACTTTTTATTTTCATTTCAGCAGATTCATGGTATGCAGTTTGGTGAAAATGGAGAAACTGGAGCATCGCCATCACCCCCAACCCGTCGCAACAAAACTGGAACTTAAGGTGGTGCGTCGGTTTGCGTACCTATTTGATCCACTGTGCTATACAGGATGGTGCTCCCCCCCCCGACCCCTTGAGAGCTACTTCTACCAGGTTGATCAATGGTTAGAGGTTAGACAAACTAAATCTCCTGGTCCTCCAGGTTGGGTGTTTGGAACGTGATGGCGTTCATTTCTGTAAAACTATATCAATGCCACCTCCCCAAGCTGGGTTCCGCCCAGGTCGGAGTTGCATCGATCACATCTTTACACTCCGACAAATACTCGAGCACTGTCAAATATTTGGCCCACCAACAATCGTTAGACATACGAGACGCCTTTGACTCAATCGACAGAGCTGTTTTCAGGAGTTGCCTACTGAGAAGAGGAGTGCCTGAGAAGTATGTCACCTTACTTCGAGCCATCTACTCTCGGGCCTCAGGCCGAGTGAGAGTGTACGGCACACTTTCGCCCCCTTTGGTATCACCAGTGGCGTGAGACAAGGTTGCCCAGCACCCCCCCTTCTTGTTAAATTCCGCTATGGACGAAATCTTGGAGATTGCTGTGGAGAACTGCGAACCCAGCGGCGTCGAGCTGTTTCCGGGGGACTGACCTCGGGATTTGGAGTATGCAGACGACATCGCGTTAATTTGCGCTTCCTAACAGACCTCCCAAAATGTCATGTGTAGGTTAGAGATGCCTGTCTCCCAATTTGGAATGACTTTCGCACCATCGAAATGCAAGGTTTTCCTGCAGCGCTGGCTAGGCACAGCTCCTGGCCTTACCCCTCTAGGTCATTCATTGGAAATGGTGGACAAGTTCGTCTACTTCGGAAGCTGCCTCAACGCTAATGGTTTAACGGATGAGGTCTCTTTGCGCGTCTCCAAGGCTCGGGTTGCTTTTGCTAATCTCCGCCATCTCTGGCATCGAGCTGATCTGAGGGGCCGAGTTTACAAGGCCACAGTGAGTGCGGTTCTCTTCTACGGCTGCGAGACATGGCCTGTTTTCGCAAAAGCATGTTGAGAGGCTGTCTGTTTTTGATCACCGTTGCCTTCAGAGCATTGCTGGTGTACGATGGCAACATCCCAAAAGGAATGAGGATATTCGACGAAGGATTTTCAGATCAGAAAAACTTTGCAGACTACTGAGCAGTATAACTTTTCTGCGCCGACTTCAATGCCTTGAGCACCTTCTCCGCAAGCCCACTTATCGCTTACCTCGTCCTGCCGTCTTCGCGCATGCAGAAGTCGGCTGGAAGCGGAAGGTGGCCAACATATGACTTGGACCAGGAGCATGGAGGAGCTAACGTCAAAGTTAAATGTGGTCGGACGCTCTTAAACCCTTGGCTGGAGAGTGGAGGATCCGGAACAAGCATAGCTGGAAACACGTTCGGATATGGCGAGAAATCGTGCACGACAGCGGAAATGCTGTGATTCATTAATCCCATGAACTTCGGCACTTCTCCCCAGTCATGGTTGGCGGCATCCGGTTTCGGATTTGCCTGTCACTGTGGCCAGCCACAGGACGCCTGCGCCTACAGAGGGACCATGCGTGGCTTGCGCTGCACCAACCACAGCTCCAACCGCACACCCCATATCCAGTGTAAACCCGAAGGAATAAGACCGGGAGGCAGGTGGATGGGAGCCAAGTTTCATCAACGGAGCCGGCCCACACTCCTTCACAGGCAAACGCAAGCACGCTGTATTTGGGAATCAAGCGCACGCAAGGCGGTGACTGGACCGTAGTCCGCTCCACACTGAGTGCATGGAACCACTCTTCGAGCCTAGCACGAACATAAGAACTGTGCACCCCGTCCCCTCCAGCAATGACCAACTGTCTCCTAGAGACAGTATGGACAAGGCAGTGGGTAAAAGACAGGTAGACACCTTGTCAACTTGGACATCAAGCGCAGCCGCACCGGGGATGTCAAGCAACAGCCAATCACTTGAGAGAAAGACAACAAAAATAAATCGAATAATGCACAAAGAAACATTGACATAAGGCTTAAATTAATGAGTATATGAAATAAGTTGTCTTCAAACGAATCCGAAACAAGTTCACGAGGTCAGAAAGCATATTTTACGGAAATGTTACAAACACGAAAATGTTATCGAAATTAAATACGATTGGCTTAAGCGATGTGTGGAAGTTTATAGAAGATAGTGCAGATAAAGATTATTATAGAAAGAAAAGAATTAGGACAAAATTGAAAACCCACCAGAGTTAGCATGCAAGCACGCAGTGAGGAAATATAATGCAGCGTGCCTACAAACGCTGAATCGGTTCTGCCTACGTTCTCTGCAGGACCCGTCGTCTTTTCGGTAGTGATCCCGAGTGGCCTCGCTCATGGCTCCCTAGGTAGGCCCGACTCAGGCACTCGCGACCGCATGTGCTACAGCACCATGCGCTCGATGTCGATGGAGTACAACCCATCGGTGCTTGCCGCTTCTTCTCTGCATGTACGTGGTCTTTCTCCCGCATTTCCGCAACTGCCTTCGTGATTAGATCGCGCCATGAACCACGATCAACCGCCTTCGAATCCCATGACATGCAACCAAGATTAGAACGTGAGAGGCTCACTTTCATCATGTCTTGGTAACGTAACTTTGGTTTCCCCGCACGCCGCTTCCCTATACTCAGCTGATCATATAACAGTTGTTTCGGTTTCCGCGTAGAATCCATACGGCTCACATGACCGAGCCACCTCAGGTGTCTCAATAAAAGTATGCAGTCCACTGCATACATATCACTTCGACACAACACTTCCGTGTCAGCAACTCTGTCGCCACAACCGATGCCCAAAATCCGTCGCAAACACTGCTGATGGAACCGCTCGTGATATCACACATCCCGCCGGTACATCGTCCACATTTCACTAACGTATAGAACGGACAGCACCATTGATTTGTACACCATCAGCTACGTGCAAATGGTAAGCGGATGGTTGTTCCACACTCGGTACTCTAGCTTCCCGAATGCCGCCGCTGCCTTCGACACGCGGATACGCAACTCACTGTGTAGCTGCTGATTAATCGACACGACACTCCCAAGGTAGCAGAAGCGGGAGATGGTATCCAATACTTAAGCACCAATGCTGATTCGTGGCAATACTGAAGATTTCACCTCCGGTGAACGTTGAAAATGACAGACAGTTTTGTTTGTGTTGATGGCGAACCCGAATTTGGTCGTTATCGAAGCCAGAGTACTAGTCATGGGTTGCAACTCATTCGCGCTGTGTACAAACAACGCA